CTTCGAGCTCAACGGGCTGCCCTCCGAGTCGAACCCTTATGTATCCCCCAGGAGGGAGTGGGATTGAGCTGCCCCCACCCCGGGGTCTCACTGGGATCAATCCCACCCCCATGGTGGGGACAGGCGTGGGGATGGGTGGCACGAGGGGACGGGGACCCGGGGAGCTGTTTTCCTGAACCGGCTGCAGATATTCAACGGGGACTTTGTGGACCGCGGGTCTTTCTCGGTCGAGGTCATCCTCACGCTCTTCGGCTTCAAGCTGCTCTACCCTGATCACTTCCACCTCCTCCGAGGTAAAGCAGCCACTGTGCGTGGCAAGTCCTTGTCCCCCCATCCTGGGTTGTGAGGCCATGCCTCCGTCCCCAGTTGTGGGGCCTCGTCTCACGTCCCCTGTCCCCAGGCGTAGGACCAGCTCATGGGGCTACATCTGTCCTGGGCTGTGGGGCTGGGTCCCCTCTCCCTAGTTGTGGGGTCACGTCCTGTGACCCCTGTCCCTTTTTGGGTTGCAGGGCCCAGTCCTGGGTCCTGGCACCACGTCCCTAGTTTCAGGGCCACGTCCCCTATCTCTGGTCCTGGGGTTGAGCTGTGGAGCTGTGTCCCGTGTTCTTGGGGACCTTGTTCCCTGTCCTCCCATCATGGGTCATGGAGCCTCATTCCCTGCCCATCTCAGGGCTGAGCCGTGAGGCTTTGTCCCCTGCCCTGTGTCCCCGGGCCTGGCAATGTCACCGCATCCCTGCAGGGAACCATGAGACGGACAACATGAACCAGATCTATGGTTTCGAGGGGGAGGTGAAGGCCAAGTACACGGCGCAGATGTTTGCCCTCTTCAGCGAGGTCTTTGAGTGGCTGCCACTGGCCCAGTGCATCAACGGCAAAGTGCTGGTGAGGGGACGCTGCCTCCGGCCCCTCTGTCCCTAGCCCAGCCCCTGGGATGTACCTGCGCAGAGGGGCTTGCCTGTGGGCTCCCTGTAGGCTGTGGGGGGGGTGCCTGCCAGCCCTGTCCCCGGGGAGTTGGGGTGATTCCCATCCTTCACGGGATTTGAGTGGGGGATTTCCACCATCCCCAGGGAGTTGGGGTGATCCGTGTCCCTCGTGGGGTTTAGGTGAGGGGTCCTCGCCATCCCCATGGAGTTGGGGTGATCCCCATCCCTGGCGGGGTTTGAGTGGGGAGTCCCCAGTGAGTCAGGGTGGTCTCTGTCCCTGGTGGGGTTTCAGGGGGAGCCCCCCACCATCCATATCCTTCGGGGCTTAGACGTGCTCCCTGTCACAAGTGGGAGGTCCCTGCCCTCCCCAGGGGCTTGGGATTCCTTCCCTCCTCACCCCTGGGGTTGGTCCCGGCCAGGGCTAGGATGGGGGGGGGGCTGTCCCTGCCCCCCCCATTGTCCCGGTACCAACATGGCTTCTGTCCCAGATCATGCACGGGGGTCTCTTCAGCGAGGATGGCGTCACCCTTGATGACATCCGGAAGATCGAGAGGAACCGGCAGCCCCCAGATTCAGGTGGGAGATGGACCCTGAGAGGTCCCCATGTCCCCCCAACCCGTGGCATCCCTGCCATCTCTGAAGGGCCGAGACATCCCCTCCCTGGGGTGGATGTGGGACCCTGACCCACCCCCTGCTTCCCCCCCAGGTCCCATGTGTGACCTGCTCTGGTCCGACCCGCAGCCCCAGGTGAGTTGAACCCTGGTTGTGGATCCCTAACACCCCCCGCCCCCTGCCTTGGGGACAGCCACCGCCATGTCC